CATCATGTTCAACGGTAATAGTAATTATTGCGTAATATATGTGTGCAATTAATTCCATTTTGTCACGCAATTCTCATCAAAATCAAATTAGCAGTAATCATCAGTGGGACTGGTCACTTGAATATAAAGAATTGTGATGGTCATTAATTGTTGTTGTGGTATTTTTGTTGTTAGGTGAATGATGTCTGTTAACTTGAGGTAACCATCTGGTACTTATATGGAGAGAATACAGATGAATTATGAGCGAAAATTGCTAATGATGTGAGTGAGTTATGTGTTGCATGAAATCTGATCTCGTTCGGTCAACTCATGTAAAATGAAATACTGTTAAATTATTTCTTGAAATATTTACAGCAATGTAATTATGTTTGTTTCACATGAAATTTACTGTTGTAGCAAATACACCGGTTGGACTTTATGATATAACTAATCATACTACTGATATTTTTCTGGTCAGTATCTTTCTTTTAGATTTTGCTTTAAATCTATTCGAAATGACAGTAATTATAATTCATGAACAATTGAATTTTGTATCCTGAGGTCCTTGGTTGGAAGCGTTACTAAAGCGATAGATGTATACTGTTGTGAAAAAACCTTCAACTGCATCAAAGCAGATGTCTAGTATTCTTTAGTTTCCAATGATTCCTGATAAAATCTAACTGACAAGCAGTTCGAAATCAGTTTATCTTGATGATGTACTGTATGTGTTTAGAGAATTGTTAGTTAAAGGTGAAAATGATCTCAAAATTGGAATATTTTAGAGGTTCATTTACACCGAAGCGCTAGTCACTGATATTCTGGTCCTCGTCTAGTGTTCTCCTGTATTTTCAGTCGATAAACTCTTAAAGTTGAAAAATGCTCCACCGAATTGAATTCAAACCATGTATAAATCACAATATACTTTAAGCGACATCTATTTTAAGTAGTGAGCTTCTACTTTTGCACTAGACTAGACTAAAGTTTCAATAAACTTCAAGGAAGTTCATTTCTTAACTCTACCATAATGTGAAGCACTTTTGGAATTGCTAACCCATCGTAACGATTATGAATAGGCATTTAAAATACAGGAGAACCGAAAAATGTCACCCTTTCCATTTAATGTGTCGGAGTCAAGTGTGCGTGTCTCTTCTTGTTAGGAACTCGTCACATAGGCGTCGCTGCAATCCACTGAATGATGTTCTCAGTAAAAACAAACAAAAGGGGAAATTCTCAATTTTCAATGAATAACATAATACCTTTTTTTTATTATAGCTTGATTCCACATCGTATTTTCGGTACAAGTATGGAATTTTCAGCATGTGATATAGGTAGTCCAAATTTTGCAGGCCGACCATTATTGATATCAGGTATGCATCGGCCACAGATCGAACCCCGGACCATGTGAATGGTCGGCGAGTGTCCTAACCACTATGCCACTGACACACTTGATACTTATTCAATACTTGTCAAATACATCCATTCCTATCTAGAAAGACTGAATTTCCGAATTCATCAATTGCTTCTGGGGTAAATAATATTCCCATGTAGATGCATTTCTGTCATGTATTTTTATGACTTGACAGTTATTATTATAATATATAAAAGAGATTTAAATGCAAGTTGTGATTGCTTTAACCTTATTTTTACTGTCTTATCTACTTATTTATTTATTTGTTTGTTTTAAATGAAAATACATATCAGATCAGATCAGTTAGTAAATAAACAATAGAATGACAGATCTCAAAGTCCCACTCCTTATACTAATCCTACAGATATATGCTTACTTCTAGTAATATCAGGCATGGTTAGAGTAGTTATAATGTCATGCATACAAAGTGGAGAATGGAAGTAAAAAGGAAGTATACACCTATAGTGTGCGTGTGTGTGTATGCGTGGGTGTTTGTATTTGTAGACAAGCGTATCATTTCAACTTGTGAAATGAGGTGTCTATTTTCACAGAATTTTGTGATAACCAACACTTCCAATATGACACACATATATATATTTGTGTCAGTGAAAATGAGTGTGGTGCTATACGCATATCTCTTTCAACACACATATATATATATTCTGTTTGGTCGTTTATTGATGTTTATTAAAGATACAGTTTTTAATGATGGGATCCCAATTTATTGAAAATTATTTGTACACCTGCATCTTTATTTTTACTTTCACTGAGAAAAAGAAATTAGGTTAAACAAATATACTAAGCACTTATTTAACTGTCATTCAATTAGACAGAGACTAAGGTTAAAACTATCTCAGTTTTTCTACAATATAACTAATTAAAGGTGTAACATAGAGAAATAGAGATAGAGTGACTAGTATTGATCAGATGTTCAATGATTGTGCTTCTTAGTCTCACTTTCACCTCTTCGTTAGCACACAGGATAGTGTTCTTTTACCCTTTTGGACAAAACCCGAGTCAAATAGCCAATAAACATAGCTCCACATGAGCAGATGTATTGATCAACATATACATATAGAGTTAGTCAACTGAAGGATCTTGTCTTTCAGGTTATTGAACAACAATGGTCAACTAGAAAAAACTAGTCTAAACAATGCTGTTTTGAATGTCCTTTTCGGGTATTTCGGTAGGTAGATTTGGGTTTTTATCCAAAAAGGGTGGAAGAACACTATCTTGTGTGGTTACGAAGAAGTGGAAGTAGATCTATAAGAAGCATAATCATTGAACGTCTAACCAATATGCTGGCCACCCTATCTTTACAGTCTCTTTTAAAGTAATGCAAAAATGCTGCTTAAAATGTTTCCTTCACTCATATTTAATATTTCAGATATCTTGTTGATACAATAGAATTCAATTTGAGATAAATTCCTTTATTGACTGACTGACACTGGTTATAGAATCACTCAGAACTGGTAAGCACTAGGTCGGTATTCCATCTAACAGTGCATACTCATGATCCTCACCAAGAATCGAATTTAGGACCATCATGTTACGAGAAGAGCTCGTTACGATTTAGACCCTGTGTTCGAATTCAGTAACCGATGACTCCTTACTCCTATCAGTGCATTTTAATGAATCATTATCACTAATATACACCCAATGCTGCAGTCAGGGCTTCCTGCTGATTGCCCCCAACCATCTGACATCAACAATTCAAAGTGCACCGTGATGGCGAACCATCTGGAATGGTGGCTACGTTGCAAATCTGATTGATAGAATTCAGCCTGCGCCAAATAAAGGGCTAGATATATCACACCAGTCACTAGTGTCCAATCAAATTAAGCTTATTTATTTTAAAATGAGATAAGAAGGAATAAGTAGGCCTAAATAACAAGATCCGAATCTTCAACACTACAGAGACTTGGCGTGTCATGGAAAGTGTTTCCAGCAAACTACTACAGACTTTCATCAACAACTTCTTGCTTAAGACTAGGTAGTCGGTCGGAAAGAATAAGTAATAAGGAAATGTGGTGGCCAACTAACCAAACACTTACTGCCCAACAAATATACAGAGAAAATGGTGATGGATTGGACATCCACCGAGAGAATCTTTGAGCGACATCACACGCTAGGCCAGACTCGAGTGGAACCTGAATGGGAGTTGACGAGCTATGAGTCTACCTGTAACACGGAGATAATGTGACAAGGAGACGAAAGATTGTGGGAAATTCTGGAGCCAGCTAAAAAGGATTAAAGAGAACAGACTGACATCCAGATGTGCTTCCGAAGCCATTTGTTACACTCTGAACCCAATGGAATAACAACTCATTCACTAAGTTAGCTAAGTAGGTTACTTAGTCAACGCCTACTTATAATACATTGGAATTCATCACTTTTTTATACTTGTTTTGGGCCATTTCATTTTAATACGCAACTATTGTAAAGTCATACATGTTTCTACTTCAAATATTCATACCTTGATACTATACAGGTAGTACATTTGAACTGTGGTCGAGATTTGACAAAATAGTTCTAAAATAATTGGGCGCCAAATGAGAAGTAGACATTTGTCAAAATTATATTTGTAAAATCTCAGCGAGATTGAAATGAGTAATTCCAACGTTTCGTTCGGCAATCTGGTCCGAACTTCTTCAGGGAAATTAATCGAAATTAACATAACATGTTATAGAACCATTGGAAAACCTGGGAGTACTGGGCAGCTGTTTCGTCCTAGCTTGGTTCTCTAACTGATGTCAGCTCATGAGGAAATCTTCGAAGCGATCAAACACAATCCCCACAAAACCAATACTTGAAAATAACATGTTATGTTGGAATTGCTCATTTCAACTTCGCTGAGATTTTGCGAATATAATTTTCACAGATGTATACACGCAGTAGGCATTTCATTTCAATGCTGCGGAAATATCTTATACGGATATATAATACATTAAAAAGAGCAGCCTCCAAATAAAACTAAGCTGTTATAGACAAGGTTGTTATCTTAGACCAGTCTTAGGTTTGTTTGACTGAAAAATGTGATTGTGTCATTGATCTTCGACAATTCGTCAAAGTTCAATAGGTCATCCAAACTGTCTCACACTAGTTCGTTTATTTGACAGATCACGTAGTAAAACACCACATATTTTTTGCAAACTAAATACTTCATAGAAAAAACAAATCACTAAACAATAACACTTAGCAGTGAGAGGCATTATTCAAATATCTAACTTTAAGCAGTCTAAGATTATCTAGATTACAGTGATAAAATTTATATGACATTCTATAGCTCATATGTTGAATCACAGTCCGTAATTGTGACACATATCGCCGATGATTTTAATTAGGTATAGAAAGCATCTAAAATAACACTTATTTCCTATCCCTGTTGGAAATAAGGAGTAAAAAGCTTTTTGATTTTTGAACCAATCGGAATTGGGTGTATGCCTCATCACGTGGGTGGATTACACATGTCCAATTTTTTAATTGGTTAAAATATGCCTCATATGATTGGACCTCTATCCACATGCACAGCTCTCATTGGTTATTCTACCAACACGCGCAAACACACCACTTATATAAGTTATGGAAATTAAATCGTCATCAGTCAGATAAACTTCACTATCACGCGATAACATCCACATGATCCCATTCACTGATACACGTGGAGACTTTACACGCGTACCACCTATTTACAGTCCACCTAATATAACTACAAACTCAGCCCAACCAACTGGATCTAATATTTCTGAGACTGTGCCTAAATCGAAAGTACCATCTCGAAGAGGCAGACGATCAAATGTTCCACCTGAGATCAGAGAGCAAACACGTCGTGTAAGTTGATGTGTGATTTGTACAGATACTTGTTATGGATACAACACATTTTATGTTGACTCAGTATAAGCCTACGATTGCTCTAGTTAGATTTCTTATATTTAATAAGATAAGTAGCAGGAATTAATTGTCTCTATTTTGTATGATGTGAAGTGATAAGTTGCTATATTCAGTGTATGTTAGGTGGCTGACTTCAGCTTCGTCTAATGTTAAAATGACAGTGCAAACAGCATTATGACGAAGTATAATTTTATGACAGAGGTTGTATGCCTTTCCACCTCACTTTACTTGGCTATATGTGTATGTATGAATTGATAATCATAATAAGAGAGTGTTATATGATTAGATTGTTCTTTGAAAGTCATTCGATAAGATTATCTCATTAATTGGGTGTATTTCTTCTTTCCTGTTACAGTTGAAGAAACAAAATATGGAACGTAGACGACGTGCATGTATCTCAGATAAAATGAATGCACTGCATAATTTGGCTATGAATCTGATTGGAATTGATGTAAGTATTCCCTGAGTGTTTTTTTTAAGATTTATAAGTGATATAACATGATTTTGCTTGTCATACTATTTGAACTGTTTTATTAGCCTTCATAATTGTTTACGTTAATGAAGTTGACTACTTGTAACAGTGGACTGGTTTCTTACTTACCAAGTTCAATGAATGTTTAGTAAGGAATGTTGTAAGAATTAGGTTCTTATTTGATACTTATCAGTGTTTATCTTGAACACTGAGATATATCATCTTAGACAAAAGAGAACATTTCAAGAGCTAGGTATTTAGGCAGGTGTTTCTCGGGAGCATATTGTGTCATATCTGTATGTCTATCTTGATCATAATAACCTAAAATTAATATTTTTTCCTTCCTTCTGTATTTTTTGCAGCCTGAAGAAAATCATAAAGTGGAGAAAGCTGATATATTAAATCTCTGTCACACTGTATTCGAAGGAATAGTAAAAATTGTGAATGATGATCCTCGTAAGTACCTTATTTGTATATATGCATTTTTTGTTGGTATATTCTAAGTAGTCATTTCTTATGGGAGAGTTCAATGTGTAAATCAATTATATAACGATATAAAATTTGACATGACACCTATTTTCTTATTTATTTAAGGAATCTGTAATAAACACAGACAGCACATTATAATTATTTCTACGTATAGTGTATTCTGAAGAGTTGGCTTACAGGGATTTGATTTTTTTAAAGTTTGTCCACGGGTTAATATCAATTAGAGAAATATTTTAAAGCCCAAGGAGTACTGGAAAGCTGTTCTGTCCTAGTTTGAGACTCATTATCAACCCCTTACAAATCAACTCGTGAGAATTAATCTGATACTCTCTGGTGGCTGACTGGCTACATGAATTGGTAGAAGTTAGAAGTCATGAGTCATTGAGTCGTACTCCATTAGTTTAATGGTCTACGAGCTTATTTTGTAATTGGAAGGTCATGGTTTCGAAACTCGGTGGGTGCATGCTGTTGATGAGTCTCGAACTGGGACGAAAAAACTGTCCAGTACTCCTCGGTTTTCAGTGGTTCTCTAGCTGATATCAGTCTGTGGTCAGCTTGTACTTTTCTAAGCGGACTGGATTTTTTCGGTCCGTCTCACCAAATTTATGTTCATCCTATAATTGTTATCTGATTAACAAAATTTAGTGGTACTCACAAGGAGTTTATGAACAATCTGTGGAATGTGGTATACAACATAAATTTCCTATTCAATGTGATGTATCTTAACAAAGCAAAAATTCTTATGTAATATAATGCTTTAGCGTAATAATCGTTTATTGTACATTTCTGTCACACACTTTTCTTCATTTCTTGCATCGTGCGTCACTGGTACAGTGGTTAGGACGTTCGCAGACTATGCAGATGGTCCGGAATTCGATCCTCTGCCGACGCACACCTGATATCAATGGTCAGCCTGCTAAAGTCGGGCTATCGATATCACATACTGAAAATACCACACTTGTACCAAAATACTATGTGGAATCAAGCAATAATAAAATAAATAAATAAGTAAAAGTATAAGACTCCAAGCTTTTAAGTTTCAGTGTTAATTTTATGGGGGCTGAGGTTGCTTATCTCATTCGCAGCCTTCAATCTTTTCTTGGAAGCACTCTGAACTAGTAAACTAGGTCAGGTTTTAAGGACACACTAAGGGGGAATCTGTCATTTTTACACATTGTAAGACTAAAATGGAGACTATATACTGGAAACTTGTATCTGGAAAAAGGCAGAAATAAAAATAAAGGAGTATTCATATCTTTCTCGTTTTATTTTTGAAAAAGCTTCAACTCTAGTCATATCTTTTTATGCAAAAAACATCACAGAATATCTTAGAAGTATTTTAATAACACTCTATGCTGAAAAATCTAACTGTCCTGATATTTATGTGTACATTATCACCTACATATTTCTCTTTATTTTTCTAGAATTGAAATCACGTTTAAAGAAATTACGCAACAACTTGAATGAATCATTCACGTGTCCATCAATGTCATCAACGAAGAAGACTATGCCCTCATTAAGTACTGATGAAACTATGCAGAATTCCTTAAAATTAAAACAAGAGAATACTTCTATGAATATACATAATGATAATTTGCACCATAGTCAGAATTCGAATTTAGATCGTATTCAGCTGTTCAATGCACAACTAAAACAATCATCCCCTTCATCATTTCACCTATCAAGTTGTACAGATTTTTATCAAAGATTTAATGAAGAGAATAAAGAAAATCAAGGCATACAATTATATACAGAAAATTCCCTGTCATTCGATAAAGACTGCTCATCTATTGCTCAGCCGACCAGTTCAATAGCAAATCCTTTATTACTATCACCACCAGCACCGTCATCATCGTTTTATTCTTGTTCGACACCGATGAATAACAAACACCAGAAATCGGGTATGTATTCCCATGGAAATAGTGTCTTCACACAATATCACTCAACACCATTAAAATCTACTGGAATGACTCATTCATCATTCATCAACTCTGATAGTGGTTATCACAGTAGTGGTTATACTACTAACAGTAATATGTATAACAATGAATCCGATATCAATATTACTTCTATTGATGCTTCTACGAGTGAACTAAATGTTATTCAGTCATCAAATGGTACGTTATTAAGTAATCCTATGACAGTCATGACATCGTCGTCGTCGCCATCAACATCCCTGTTGCAAGTCAATTCATCATCATCTGCCTTCAAGGTACCGAAAAAGAGACTGACTGATCGTCATTCTAATAATAATAATAATAATATGACTGGCAATATTCACATTCCTATGACGACAAATACCAATAATACTAATAACAGAACTATGAATTCCACGAAGCCTAATTTTCCACCACTACCACCAATGTGGAGACCATATTTAGATTAGATTAGATTATAGAATAATTTCAGCTTAACTTTTGTACAGCAACTGAGCTAAATACTACTTTGACATTTATTTATTTATTCTACAGCTAATTACTTTCTCACCTCTTATGAAGTGAAATTGAACTAAGTATCCTGTACAGACTTTAACAACTTCCCTTCTAATTTTTTTTTGTACTTATCAAATATAGGCGTTTTATATCTTTTGTTTGACTATTTTTATTTCTTAAACAAAATCATCAGTGTATCTCGTAGACTACCCTTATTTGAGTGTTAATGGCTTTATTGTAATCGGCATTCGGTCTAATTTAGATAGTAATATTCGCAACGTAACGAAAACGCTCTAATTCGTGTGTCTGCATAGTTTCGGTGAATCACGCACGCTAAGGAATGTCACATTTCTAGATGAGTACTATCCAGTTACTTGAATAGAAACCAACTATTCATGACTTCGTCAGGTAAAATGAAACTAATGAAACACTAAGCATTGTTACACAAGTTTATTAATAGATAACACACCTCATATTGGCCTTGGTAAAGCCTAACAGTTAGGACTTTTCAGTAGAACCATGAGGAATCTATCGCCATGTCCAGAATATTCTTGCATTAAATCGACTATCTATAATCTGGCAATCCATATCGCAGTAAATGAACGAAATATTCTTGTTCAGTTATTGGTTTGTAGGGATTTGATTGATTGGTTACAGGATTTCATCATGAGTTGACATTGGTTAGAGAACCATTGGAAAACCTCCAGGAAGTACTGGACAGCTGTTTCATCAGCCTAGTTTGGGACTTTTCAGAAGTATGCACCCCCACCAGAGTTCGAACCCAGGACCTTCTGGTTACAAGTTGAGCTCGTAGGCTATTAGGCCACTGTGACCCAATCCAATGGCCAGCCCATGATTTCCAACTTCTGACAATTCACGATAAAGCGAGATCACTAGCCACTGTCGTCGCTGGCGAGTATTTGTTCTCATACATGACCTCCTGTACTTCACTGGTCACAAATTCCAACTAGAACCCAGGTAACTGCCTACCTGAATACAGCCTGTTGCTGGTGAGCAATGGGTTGATATTCAGTTGTTGTTTTCAGCGATTTGATTGCTTTCAGGATTTCATCATGAGCTGACTTCGGTTTTCAACTCCTTTTATTCATACTGTGTAAATTAGAGCCGAATTATATCAACAGTACACCTGAATTAAATGACGTATATTATAAGTAAGGACATTTTAACGCTTTGATATTCAGAAGCATCAAAATCTCCAAAGAAAAGGAGTTACAAAGTGTTCACATCAACCCATGTAGGACAGTATATACTGTTTCAATGAGTAAGGATTAAGTGATTAATGACTCAATTTCGTAATTCAGCTAGTCAAGTGTCAAGCTGGTAATCTGGGAAACTGGTTAAAATTCTACTACTAATCAGATTTTCATTACATCTTCAATTCACAGTCATCACTTTTATTAAGTCATAGGAATTTAATTGACTTTCAGATAGGTTTCGTTATGAGCAGATTACTGAGCTGCTAATTACTAGTAATTGACTACAAGATAGGCATCCTGTAGTCCTAGTGAGAAGTTTTGACCGACAGTGTTCAACAAGTCAGACATGATGATAGATATTCTCTGATAGCATTGGATGCCGGTGATACTATAAATCGAATTAATAGAAGTTAAAATTTTTATAGATAGTTGCATTTCAACTAAACAGCTGAATGGTGTATTTTTAAACTCAGTTATCCAGAACGGAGATGTACTCAAACCCTGTACTCATTGGCTGTTAGTTGAGTACTTAAATCAATGACCTGCACCTCTTCAAAAAGGACAGACTGTTAGAGTAAGCCATGCATTTGCCAGCTTATAAAAACTCACCAGAAAGTTACACATGAATCGTGTCCAGTAAGTCGACGAGCTCACCTGGAAGTCTAGAGTTCAACCCATTACCTAGCTGAGAGTGTTTACTGCTGAGCAGTTACAAACTAGGACGAAACGGCTGTTTACTTTTCCGTGTTTTCAAAGATTCTGTAACTGTTATAAGTCAGTCATAAAATCCACAGTGAAATAAATACACAATACTATCATAGACCACTTTTATGAATCAAATCAAGCGATTCAAAGAGGAGACTCTTTTCAACGAATTTGTTATCAAGCTAAACAATCGTATATATATAGGTTATTTTACTAAGAAATTATATCCCGTCAGGAGATTGAAGCAGAGGTGTAAAAACATGAAGTACTGTACCTGAACTTGGAATTCAACGGTGACTTAGCTGACCTATCGTTAAAAGAAGGGTCTCATAGTCCTTGAAAAGGATATTTCCTGCAGCATTGTTGAGAATAGCATTTTCTGATCGACCATTACTGCTCAATAACCTGAAAGATAAGATTCTACAGCCGACCAACTCTATGTGCATTTATCAGTTCACGTGCTCGTGTGCAGCTAGGTATATCGGTCGTTCGACTTGAATTTTGTCCAATCGGTTGCAAGAACACTATCCTGCACAATTACGAAGAGGTGAAAGTGGAGCGTAACAATTGAACATCTGGTCGATAATGCTCACTCAACCTCTACTGCCTCCGCCTTTGAAGTCATCTACAAGGAGAAAAGTAATTTACCCAAATCACTACGTATCCGACTCATTTATACTGCTGAAGCTTTGGCCATCGAAACAAGAAAGCTAGATCTCTGTATACAGAAAAAGTTCTTTCAACCCCTCCAACTTTCATAGTCTTAATCCCTATGTGCTAAACTATGGTAATCCCTAATCATATTTTGGCTCTACCTACTTTTCGTTTTGTTTATTCAATTTGTATAATCTTCCTCTATTACTTCAATTGTTACTATTACCATTCTCACTTTAAATTGTCCCCAGTATTATTTCACTTGCTCCACTTGTCATTCTAAATCAATTTTGTTTTGTAACATTAAATTCTCTGTTATTAAATCTATGCGATTGTGCAGCTTGATAATAAATTCGTTGAAAACAATCTCTTCGCTGAATCATTTGTTTTAATTTTCCATATGCCCCAATGGAAATTTTCCATGAACTTCTAATCACTTGCTCTTATTATTTTCACTTTTGTATACAACTTAACTCTGTTGAACACAAATCAGTCAAATTGTGGTGATTTTTCACAGCCTTCACCTTTAAAATTAAGAGATTACCTACCTTTGAATATGAATATGAGTCAAAATCATATCAGTGTACTTTTCCTACAGTTTGTTTTTTCAAACATTATTACTGCCACTATTATTGTTGTTGTTGCTGTTGTTGAGTCGTACTTAAAAATGATATGAGTACAATTCAAATGGGTTAAAAATTTAACGACTTTTTTTGACGAGTATACGTATATATATATTAGTGTGTTTAAGACGAGATTAAAATTGTATTACTCGAATATATACATAACACTATAGGTCGTTTAATATATACCACAGTATTTATAGGTAATGGTTTCCGAGTACAAAATGTTGAATACAATTCACAAGATTCGAATCAATTCCCACTCAAGGAGGATACTGCATATTTCATTAAACTATGAATCTTAATTGCAAGATTCATTATAACTTGGTTTCTTTGCTAATAATACTATGTGACAGGGTAAATCTGAAAGTTAATCTAACAGAAAACAGTTTCCAAGAGCCAAATTGTAGGGATTTAATGTGTTTCAAGTTTGATATACTGGTTTATATTAGTTTAATTAGAGAACCATTGAAAACCGGTGGCACTCATCAAGTCGGTCATGAGGGAAAATACTACTCGATAATATTGGCCGGTAGTCGCGTCAAAATCACAAACTGGTAGAAGATGGAACTTGTGGGCCACTGAATTGGGTCCCAGAGACTAAATAGCCTACCAGCTCGCTTTGTAACCAAATGGCCCTGGGTTCGAACCCCAGTGGGTACGTACTCCTGAATAGTTCTAAACCAGAATAAAACAGCTATGCAGTACCCCCTGGTTTTCAGTAGATCTCTAAATAATTTCAATCCCTTACCAAAATTGAAATAAGACAGTTTAGTTCACTACTTAGTTAGTTTTTCCTCTCAAGAAACTGCTTATTTTCCTGTTCTTTGGATTAGTGAAGAATTTAGAATAAAAACAGTTCTCATTGGTTCACAATAGAGAAATATAAAACCAACAATATCTACGACAGGTAGCCTGAGCCAACAGTGAAATATAGTGTATGGCCATAGTGAACGTTTCTGCATCGAGGAAAACAAACTTAGAGTCAAAAGACACCTATTCCTTGATATAAATGAATTTGAACAACTATAGGTATTATTTCAAGTTTGTTAAATGTTGGAATCTTAAGAAATGAAATGGCTAAGTATTCCACAGAGTTCACAGAGAGCTGATATTCGATTCTACTTGTACTTCAGAAAATAGATCAATTTATTAATCAATAAAACAGAGGGGATGAAGATTCCTGACTAACAGCAGCAGCAACAACAACAGACAACAATCAGCCAACCAGAATAAATGGGAGAAATCTGGAAGAACCAACCTCATTTACCCACCTACCTACCTGGGAAGCATCGTTTCAACTACAGGTGGACGGAACTGATGAAGATATCAAAGCGAGGATCGGGAAAGCAAGGCAAACTTTCATTACTCTCAAGTCTGTATGGAGATCAACAAACTACTCAGGATGAAAAATAAGATCCGGATTTTCAACTCCAGTGTGAATTCAGTGATACTTACTATACGGATCAGAGACTTGGCGCCGTACTGCGTCACGAAGGGCACCTCGAACAAACTATAGACTTTCAGCAACAGCTATCTTCGCTCAGTACTACTCAAGATCAGATGGCCGATCAGAAAAGATCATCAATAGTGAGGGATCTCAGGCAATGATAGAACCAACCCATCAGGAATCAACTGTGCAACAAATATGCAGGAGTGAATGGAGGTGGATTGGCTAGCCATACTCTGAGAAAACAAACCATCAAGTAACATCCATCACAAGCCAGTCCATCGCTCGGTTGAAACCTGAATGGGAAGCGGCGAGTTTGTCGTCAGTGTGAGGGTGACATGGAGGAGGTGGTGTGAAGAGGAGATGAAAGCATCTAGGTAGACATAGAGCCAGGTGAAAACGTTGGTGGAGAACCAAACGCAATGGATACGTGAGACTGAAGCCTTATGTTCCTCAAGGAACTAAAGGAAACAATAATAATTATAATGTATATTAATCAATAAAGAGT